AATGTGGAATATTATTCAACTTGTTAAGTGATTATGATGTTGTTTCATGGAATATGTCTGGATGAAATGTTATGATAAAGTGTGATATTGATATGAAGGATTTAGTAATTGAAACTATATTAAAAAGGGGTATGAGTGGAATAGATTTAGTCTGGAATTGATTTACCAAGCATGATCTTATGAGTGGGAAAAAGGAATAACTCGGAGAATGACTTTAAGTGTCAAATATGAATTGGATCAAGTGTGAATAGTTACAGAGATACATTGGGATATATAGAGTTCAGAGACGATGAAAAATCTAGGGAAAATGTAAGTGTTACACTTCAGAATACAACAATATTCTTTGTGTAAAATTACTAACTAGTAAGTGTACTAGGTAGTTGTAGCAAGTAATAAAATTTTAAAAATCAATATGAGTCCTAAGTATTGTTCACAAGGATATTAGTTTCAATTACCACTTCACAAATTGACAATTAGTTGAACCACACAATTCATTTGAAAGATTTGTAACATGTAAAAAGATAAGAAATAAGAACAATAAAAGATAATAAAATGTTGTAAAACAGAATATGAATTTTATATGGAAAATACTATGTGAAAAATATTTAGGAATCACTTCACCAGATTTTCAATTACAATGTAATTATGTTCTGGACTCTTAAGAATTCTAATTAATTGATAATCAATTTTACTTCTTTAACCAAAAGACAATTCCTTACCTCAATGATCTTAATATCTAATTAAACCTTCCCAATTCTTTAGGTAAAATTCAATCAAATACTGCATTAAGTTTTGAAAATTATAGGATTACTAGATTATGATACTTATTTCTAAGATCTCAATAACTTAGGCATATGATTCAGATCTGAGAAATAAACTCAATTTTTATTGATGAAGATTCCTCTAAGTTCAATTGAATGAAGGATTAATTCACAACTGTATTAAGAACAGAATCACATACTTAATTTAATTAAAATCTCAAGGTCTAGATCCAAAATTACATTACAATATCAAATCTGGATCCATAGATCTCTAACCAAAAAGATTTACAACAACATTATAATGGAAGAAAGGAAAGTAAGAGAAGAAGAAGGCAAAGAGCAGAAGAACATCTTCCAAGACCCAATCTTCACCCTGATTCCTTTAGCAATGAAGCTTGAAAGTCGCTCCTAATCTCTCTCTCTCTGAGTTCCCTTGGAAGTTAAAATGGTTACAAAGTGAAAGAATGAAAAAAAAATGATAAAAGCCTCCAAATTTGAACTCTTAACTTTTATTTATAATATCTTTCCCGCCTTTTTCACTTCTACATTTTAATCTCTGGGAATTATTGTCACAACCCATTTTATAAGGAACCGAGAACATTGTTTCCACATCACAAACTTATTTAAGATAAATAAATAATAGAGAATATAAGTATGAAATTCTCTTCTCATTCAAAATAAAACAAAGTTTCTTACAATAAATATCCAACAGAACAACATAATTTTATATTTAGTTCATAATATTCAAAATACACAAAATTGTACTACGTATCTCCTTCTACATGAGGTCTCAAAATATAAGGAAAAAGGACTTTGATGCAATATTACTTGACTCTAGCTTCTAACATTTCTTCACTGGCCCCTCAGCCTGTGAAGTAGATGCAACACCTGCTACATCTGCTCACGTACCACCGTACGATCATCGTAGTACACACGCACACAACGACATAGAAAGAAATGCAAGGGTGAGCTTACAAAAATAAAATAAAATCATATATGTAGAGCAAAATATTTCTCACAGCAATAGCCCCATGCATTTTCAGCTCATCTAATGCACAAGATGAAAACGGTTTCCAACTGGTTTCACAACCTAAGTAATCCAGAAGGAACCGAGCCGGTCCGGGAGCGACCCATTCCGGTATTTGGATCCAGACAGCACAGCACAGCAACTCAGCATGAACTTACCGTTACACGTCTACCCACCTAAACATGTAACTCAGCTTTATAATGATGTAAAACATATATCTCAGCATGATGCACACCGCTAAAATTATTTTAACAGCTCAGTTAAGGCAAGTTTAAGATAGATCAGCCAAAATCTCAGTATTTTAAATCAATTAACAGCAGTTACAGCTTAGAAAATAGCTTTTATTCAATAGATCTAACAAAATCATATCAAAACATCTTGAAATAGCATATTAAACCGTTCAAAACGTAGTTCATAGGTTAAAGTAAACTCCCTTTACCTCATAACGATGATTCACACTAGATCTACCAAATATTACTTGTTTTATAGCAAGTTTCACCGAAGATTTGGCTTAAGAACGAAGTTTCTCCTAAGAACACCATGAACTTCTATGAGAAAGAGAAGAAGAGAAACAAACGGTAAATCTAGCTTCAAACTTAAAGAAACTTACTTCAAATCCCTCATAATAGATGTAGAATCTCAGATCTGGCGACAAATCTAAGTTTAGGAGGGTTTAATATGAGAGAAAATCGTAGTATATGGCCTTAGAACCTTTGAAAACCTTGAATATGAGTAAAGGAATGAAAATTTCATGTGAAACCCCCTTTTTATAGAAAATTTTCAAAATTTACTGTTCACCGCCTTACTGTTCACGCTGGAAACACTGTTCAGGGCACTATTCACGTCAGAAACACTGTGCACGCGAACTGTACACGCACTGTACGTATATGTGACATCAGCCATGACGTCAGGATGATGTCACTGATGACGTCAGCGGTCACTGTACATACGCAGTTTTTACTGTTCATACACGGTTTGTACGCGGTTTGCACTGTTCATAGGCAGTTTTACTGTTCATTCGGCACTGTTCATACGGTATTGTTCACTTTTTTTTAAAAAATAAATAATTTCAAACTCCATCTAAATTTATTCCAATACCAAATAATCCTTCAATTAACATTTAACAAGTATAAAATATTATAGATTACTCAATAATAAATCACAAGTCTGCCAATTATAACATGAAAGGTCTTCTAGAAACTTCTATAGCTGAGGTAAGAACTTAAATCGTCCAAAGTTGACACTTAAAAGTGATTTTCAAAATTCTATTATTTTGCGTAGACACTTTTAGGAGTAAGAGAGTCCACGCGTATGTGTTCTGTGCAAATAAGCCTTGCGCATGGCTATTTTAAATAGGCAGAGTTAATGCACGTAACTTTGAGTGACTACTTTCGGTGATCAGAGTGTCCACGCGCAAAGTGTTTAAGTAAATTAGCTTTGAGCGTAACTACTCTTAGTAGTGTGAGTGAACACGTGCAAGACTCTTCAAGATTTCTGTTGCTGGAGTGTTTACTTTTAGCACTTAAGTTGCTACTCACTTGATCTTCATGAATTTTCTTCTTCAAAGTGTTTACTCTATTCACTTAAAGTGGTTACGCACAGCACTTATCATCTGATTCTTGCTTTTTAAGCTCAATCCTTTTACTTTTTCCACTTTAATATCAACTTCAAAGTCTGAGCTCAAGCTTCTGCACAAAACTTAAGTCTTTTTAAGTTAAATTGTCCAGAATTAGAATAAAATCTAAAATTCTAAACTATTTACACAATTATGAATATTAATATAATTTTTACAGTATTTCTAAGTTTATTTGGTACTTTACTACTTATTTATTAATAAAAACTATACTAAAAATGTAGTAAATTGTGGATTTATCACCATCACAAACTTAAAATTATTTCTTGTCCTCAAGCAAATCAATTCAACTCAAAGGGAAAGTTCATCCACTTCTCAAAATTCAATCAGTAAGCTGCCTTTCTTCAAGATTTTTCAAATTTTCAATTCTATGTTTTTCTGAGTTCTCATTCTCAATCAAGCTATTTTTCTATTCAATAACTATGAAAATCACACTAAATTAATCACATTATAAACAAGAGCTTGTCATCTGAGTTCATATAATTTAGCAAAGGTTCATATGAGCAAAATTAAGAAACATGACCACAACTCACAAGTAGTGTTTCTCTCATCACTCAACAGTGTTTAGGATCAATGTTTAATCTCAAAAATCATCATTTTTACCACACTAGCATAGGCTTGCAAATATTCTCAATTTTTTCTCATTGGAAATAAGATATGTTTTATTTCGAATTAAAAATTATAGAATGTTACAAAAGGAAAATTAGGAATTAAAAGTTTTAGGTAGTAGTAAAAATTAAATAAGACAAAAAAGAGATATAGATAATAAAAAATGACACAATGAAGTGAAATTTTAATTTATTTCAACACTGAAAAATTAAGCAAAATCTTGAGTTTAGTAATTCTTAAATTTTTTTTTACTCATTTTAATATTTTTGTTGTAATCAATAATGTGAATAGCTATATGACAATTGGTAACATAATTTTTTGATAGTATTTATTTTTTCAAGCAATATATGCAAAAAACATAATTTGTATAAACAACATTGTGATAAAACTATTATAAAACCTTTATAAATATGTACACCTTTTTTAGGAGGGGGAAGGGTTTGTAAGCTATTTCGGGTTAATTTTTGTTATGTGTTAGACGAGTGCTTTAAAGAAAATTATGGTTGGATGTTTATGATCAAATAAACACCAACCAGGAAATGGTAAAACCTATAATTGACTTAAACTAAGCAAAAGGTGGCAGAGTTCCTCCTTTGTAGGAGACCATTGAGGAAGGACAAGAATGGTTGATTCTTTACCTTTTGTAATTTGCCTTCTTTTCCCATGGAATAGTCTCTTCCTTTTCTTTCTTTTGAGAACCCTTTTTGGCCTCCTTCAAGGTAACTTATTTTTGCTTCAAAATTTTTATTTTGTCAAATTAAATTGAAGATAATGAAATCTTATAATCTAGCATTATCACTAACTTGTTTTCTTTTTTTCTTTGATTGACAGGGTTCTCAACCATCTTGAGAAGAAGAGTTAGGAGGAAGCTGGTGTTTCGACATTCAGTGGTTTTCTTCTTTTTCTTCTTCTCCTTTTTTCTTTTTTTCTTTTTAATGTAAAAACCATTTGATCGAAACCCAAAGAAACAATGTCTTCCCCTCACAATTCTACTCCTGATAACTCCACACCCGATAATGCCACGCCTGACAACTCCACTCCCGATAACTCCACCCCCGATAACTCCACCCCCGATAACTCCACTCCCGATAACTCCACCCCTGATAATTCTACTCCCGATAACGCCACCCCCGATAATTCCACGCCAGATAATTCCTCGCATGATAACTCTAATGCGCCACCCCAGAATTCCCAACCATCTCCTCATTCATCAACGAAATCTCCATCACCACCAAACTCCAATGCCCCACACAAAAGTTCCTCATCATCCCCTTCTTCATTTGCGGATCAGTCTCCATCATTGCCAGAATCGTCACACAAATCATCAAAAGAAAGCTCAAAGTCCAAAAATGACGATAGCAACAAAGCAGCATTAGGAGCCGGGCTTGGTGTAGGATTTGTTGTTCTTGTTCTAGTTATTATTTGTTTTATTTGGTGCAGGAAGAAGAAACGAAAGCAAAAACAATACTTTGGAGGAGAACCTTCTCCTGGAAAAGGTGACAAGTCTTGAGCATTATATTTATAACATTAGAGTAATGTTATTTCCACGTACGTTTCTCACAATAATACTTACCTTGAAGAGAGAGAATTGTGAAATAAAATGAATGATGTGATAGAGTAAAAAACAAATAATGTGAAAAGTTTTATGAGAAATTGTTGGGGAAATAATATTATTTAAATATTTAACTAAAATGCTTATGTAGACATAATATACAAATGCTAATATATGTAATGAATAATTAGATAATATAATATACTATAATAAATAATAATACTGACTTAGGATACTTGGACGAATAAGCTAATTTGTACAATTTTACTTCCAAAGGAAAGAATTTCGCTTAGGCAATGCATGGATGTCCATGCTACCGTAACAATTTCTTGTTTACTACTTGTGGGAGAGACCTCGCAAAGGCAACATCTTACTAAAACCTTTTTTTCCTATTTTAAGGAAAAAGTTTTATGGTAGTCATATATATATTTGGCATTATGGACTCTTATATGATATTTAAAATAGTTATTTTGGAAGAACTTAGAACAATGAATACTAGTAATTGATTATTAGACTTTTTTAGTATTTCAGTGCAATAGCTTTCTTCGTACTATAATATTGATTGAAACAATTTTGGATTCATTTTCCTTGAACCAAAAAAAAGAAGTTAATGATTGATAGTTGACGGGTTCCGAAATAACTTGCACAGGAAGTAACTATTACAACAGTGGGCAACACCCTCAATCCAATTGGCAATCAGGTTCAGGCCCTCATGGAGGGGACCATGTTGTTAGGGTACACCCAGCTGGTATGGGAATGGGTCCTCCTAGTAGTGTTTGGGGAGCACAACATCCTCTAATGAACAGCGGTGACATGAGCTCCAATTACTCATCGGGAATGGGAATGGGAATGGGAATGGGTCCTCCTTCACCGGGCCTTTCCCTCACTCTCAAGGGTGGTACTTTCACATATGAGGAATTGGCAGCTGCCACCAAAGGATTTGCTAATGAGCATATTGTTGGACAGGGTGGATTCGGTTATGTCCATAAGGGAGTTTTGCCTAATGGAAAGGAAGTGGCTGTTAAGAGTCTAAAATCAGGTAGTGGCCAAGGAGAGCGTGAATTCCAAGCTGAGATTGATATCATTAGTCGTGTTCATCATCGTCATCTTGTATCACTTGTTGGATATTGTATTAGTGGTGGCCAAAGAATGTTGGTCTATGAATTTGTTCCCAATAAAACTTTAGAACATCACCTTTATGGTAAGCATCGTTTATGGGTTCAATTTTTAATGTACACTATTTATGCTTATGTGAAGTGATTAAACAAGTAAAAAGCTACTAATGGACACTTGAAATTCAACCACTTACAGAGAATAGTTCCTCAACATTTCTTGTTTAGATTAATTTTGATAAACAATATTTGCTAATTTATTTGATTGTCACAGGAAAGGGTTTGCCTACCATGGATTGGCCTACTAGAATGCGAATTGCACTAGGATCTGCTAGAGGACTTGCCTACCTTCACGAAGATTGTAAGACTACTCAAACTTCTATTTATCATACTTCACTTTTTAATTCTTCTCACTTGTTATATTTCTTACATTTGCTTTATTACAAATGAACTCAGGTAATCCTCGCATCATTCATCGTGATATTAAAGCTTCTAATGTCCTCCTTGATGATAGCTTTGAAGCAAAGGTTTCACATTTTTTTTATGTTTTTCCAATGAAGTCTATATATTTACTCTTTCTAACTACTCTAGTTATATACCACACATATTACCAATCTTCTATTGTTGACGCTCATTGATTATGCCAATGATGCATAATAATCAGGTGTCAGATTTTGGACTGGCTAAGTTAACTACTGATAATAATACGCATGTCTCAACTCGTGTCATGGGAACATTCGGGTAATCATCTATCCCTTTAATGCCTACAACAATAAGGAAATTGACAAAATGGGAATTGATGATTTTGCTCATAAATACAATGTTGTTTTCGTTAGACAAATGTAATTTGCGACTTTCACTAAACAATTTTAATCCACAACATACTTGATGGCTTGATATCACATTTAAATATTGGCAAAACAATGTCCACTCATATAAAAGATAATAACTTGTATGATTTCTTTTTAACGGTTAACTTCATTAGCTATTAACTTATCCTTTTTACACTTCTGAATTACTTTATGTAAGAAATTATATGCTAGAGAATTTTATTTAAATAAATTAATGATGCTTCGCATCATTTCTTTTACTCTTCCTTCATATTCTGTATAAAATGTCAAATAACTTAACACAAAAATAGAGGAGAAAAATAAAAGAAACTCTTTCTAATGATGTGAAATAAAGTTTAAACAAATGACAAAATAATCAGGTTTATTCATTAATCTAGCTTGATAACCTTTATGTGCATGTTAAAATAGGTACTTGGCCCCAGAATATGCATCAAGTGGAAAATTGACAGAGAAATCCGATGTTTTCTCATTTGGGGTTATGTTATTAGAACTCATAACTGGGAAGCGACCTTTGGATTTGACAAATGCCATGGATGAAAGCTTAGTGGACTGGGTTAGTACTACGTACTTTCCTCCGCTACTCACTCATTGATTAGATTTCAAATATATTACAATTTAGAGTGAAGTAATTACCAAAGAGTAGATGTCTTGGTTTTCAAGTATTTTCATTATCCTACAACTTTTCTTACAATATAAAATTATTGTGAAATTAAATATTGAGCAGGCTCGACCACTCTTAAGTAAAGGGTTGGAGGAAGATGGCAACTTTGGAGAGTTAGTGGATCCATTTTTGGAAGGCAATTACAATGCTCAAGAAATGACAAGAATGGCAGCTTGTGCTGCTGCAAGCATTCGTCATTCTGCTAAGAAGCGTCCAAAAATGAGTCAGGTATATTTGTGTGTGTGTTGAGTATTTTATTTAGGCTTCAATGACTAAATATCTTATGGAAATCATAGTTTTGATGGACATGAAAGTACAACTAAATATTTTAAAGAATTATTGACTTGAATTCATATTCATTTAATGTGCTGCTTAATTATGGGTAGATTGTAAGAGCATTGGAAGGAGATGTCTCATTAGAAGACTTGAAAGATGGAATGAAGCTTGCAACGACGAATAACAATGCTTACACCTCTTCATCTGGGAGCTCAGAATATGATACAATGCAATATAATGCTGACATGTTGAAGTTCAGAAAGGCAATAATGTCGAGCCAAGAATTTGGCGACAGCAGTGAGCTTTCTAGTAAGGAGATGGGTTATCATTAGAAACTTCAAGGCATACAACACATTTAGATAACCAAATCAACAAGATTGTTATGATTCTCAGCTTGCTTCGAATGACCTTCAAGACATAACCATTTTGCTGATCACACACATATGTTAGGAAGGGGGAACATATGTACACTAACTAATGAGATTGCTTTTATCCGTTTTGTTGTGGAAATTGACATAAAATCAATAATAAATGGTTTTGTTTTGTGACAGTATTGGGTCTTGGGATGCATGTTACAAGGCGCTAAAAAATGTAACTTGCGTTTAATTAATTACAGTCTTATGCTCTGTGACATGAATATTTGCAATTTGGCATTATATACAATTCTTTTATTTTATTAAAATAAAGATCGAAATGAATGTAAATTACATTTAGGGTTAACTAGAAGGATACTTGTGTTGCCCCATTCTTCAATGGTTCCTTAAAAATAACAATAATATAAAAAAGACAGCCTATATTACTTATGTGATTCATAACTTTTTGTTGTAGTTGCAAATTTTATTATTTGTTAATTTAATTATATAATTGTGTGTAACATTCTAATGTATAATAATAACCCATGTAAATGTTTGACCCACTATTAACAGTTTAAATATACTTAAATATAAATCCAAGCTAATTATATCATTAATTTTTCATTCATCTAAAAAGAATCGTGTGCACTATCACGATTATAATCACAACAAGAGGCAAAACATTTAAAAGAATTTGTTTAGAAGTAGAATCATCACCAAATTTACTTTGAATAAAAAAAAAGTAGTTTATGAAAATCATGTTAGGTTCAAAAATCAATTTATGCATAGGGAAAAGTAAAAACTTAATTCTATATAACAACCCTAATACATCCACCTTAGTGTGTTGCCTTAAATCAAGTGCAAAATTCAAAGTAACTTTAAACATATTTTAAAGTTAAAATTAAAATAAAATAAGTATACCATTACAAACAAACATATAACTGAATAAATAAATAAGAGGAAAAAACCAAGAATAAATATAAAAATTGAATTTTTGCTTTGACATTTTAATTCTCGCTCCTGTGTATTCGTTAGCGTACTGAGAAACTTAGAGTCACTGCATGACTCAAATATTTTTAATGAATTTAAAAATTGGATCAATAAGGCGTCTTACTTAAATTTAACGTTTTCAATGTAGAATAAATTATAAAAACAAATAGTATTTAAAAATATTTTTTAATTTTATTATATTTAAAGAAAACATATTAACATATAGAATGATTGTTTTAAAAAATTAGCAAACAAAAGCAAATTACATTACTCATAATGATAGTAATAAGAATGATACCAATAACAATAAAAATAATACTAAAATTAAAGACAAAACAAAATTCACATGATACTATAGTAAAAATAACAATATTAACAATAATAATACTAAAAGTCAAAACAACATGAGCACAGTTTTTATTTTTATTCTTTATTTTGTACCTTTGTTGTTATGCTAAAAACAAAACAAATATATTAGAATCCCAAAAAATTATAAAAAAAAATGTGAATATGGACTTGTTGTCAATAACACTTCTTTTTTTTATGGTCTCTCAGGTAAAAATAAAAAACTACATATAAGTTTAATTAAAAATATTTAATATCACTAATTTGAATGCAATTTACTTTTATCTTAGTCATAGTTCACTTTAATGCCAAAGACGAGGAAATATTTTTCATTTCAAAAAATGGTGTATCTTAGTACAGGGAAAGTTGAATATTTTTTAGAGTGATAAAGGCAAACAAAGAGGAGTATACCTTTGAGTGCAAAGGCAATATCAACGGTGCATAAGGTAAAGGAAAGATATTTGAGAATATAGAGAAAGAAAAATTTTGAAGTAACCGCAAGAGAGACTTAGACGTACGCGAGGACACAGAGATAACAAGATTTTGAGTTTAGAGTTTAATTTAAAATATAACTTTAGAGAACTTCACGTAATCTCTTCGAATGTATTGTCACAGACTGAACTCTTCAAATTTGCACTTCAAAAGTTTGTTCTTAACAGTATTAAGCAATAAAAACACATGCATTTTTTTTTTATGGTACAGCATGTTAGGCTTCATTTTTTATCGGCCCAAGTTAATCGTTTATTAGCCATCTCTTCTCTCTCTCTCTCTCCCCCCCTCCCCCCCCCCCTCCTCTCTTTTTTAACTTTATTATGTCAATAAAGAAAATAACAAAAAAAATATTACCCAGAACTTTCTTTTGTTCATATCATATGCATATGGGGTGCGATTTTTGGTTTTGCTACTGGGAGGCTTGGGTCGCAAGATGCTGCGTCTTGGGCTGTGATTCACGAGGTGGTGAAAACGACTGGAGGTGAACAGTAAGGTGCTTTGTACTAGGTTAGGTGACGATAATAGTTTTTCGCGAGTTGATTCATGCACGATGATAATGGAGCTGTGAGGAGAGTGGAGCAGTGGTTTTAGTGATGTGTTCTTGAGATGGTTATTTGCCTCTATGTACTTAGACGGTAAGGGTCATGTTAGGGTTGTTTGGAGTTTTGTGGTGAAAGCTTATGGAGGTGGTGATGGCTGCTTTCAGTTTCTAGTTTAGGAGGCAAGGGACAATAATGGTGAGTTTAGTGACTTGGGACTCATAATATATAGCTTGTGATGGTAGTCATCGAATCGAATCTGGTTTAGGGGCAAGGCTGTGATGGTTGAGATCCCTATTTTATTTCTCTTTGAACTCCTTTAAGGGTACATGCATCTCTGTTTCTCTTCTCACCCTGTCCCATGAAAAAAACTCCCTGAATTTTGATGGTCTATGTATTCAAATCCTTACAGGCCATTGTCACATTCTAGTTGCCACACCGTGTGAATTGCATACAAAATTAACAATCACAGGCAAATTAGCCACTTAAAACGCTTCATGTTATTTTATTATTATTTTATTTATATTCATTCTCTCTTTCCCTCTCCTATACACAGAGCAAAGGGAAAAGAGCTCTATGTTTTATGTAGCTACAAAGTCTATTAATTCTTTTAAAATAATATAATCTTTCAAACAAGATTTGGATTGAGTAATTTACATATATTAACTCTTGCAATATCTCAGTTTAAAATGGTTACTAAAATTAAATGTGTAGATTTATTTTATAATTTTAAATTATTTATTTAACCTTAAAACAATAATTGATATTATTTTACTTTTAGAAGAAGAGAATTTATTTACAATAGGTTCGGTTCTTGCTCGTGTATATTCCATGGTGAAAGGGTAAATGAAGATTGTGATTATACTTAAATATCATAAAATCGGTTAGTTAATTTGATTTTTTTAAATATTACAAAAATATTTTAAGATAGACTTTGTTTTGAAAATAATTTATATTACATAAAATACAAGATAATGTGAATACATATGTTATATTATAATAAATAATATTAAAAAGAAAAAACAATTACACATCTACATTCTATGTAATTGCAAGGACAAAAGAAAATTAATAATAATAATAATAATATATTATTATTATTATTATTATTATTATAAATAATTTAATTTTATAAAAATATTTGAATAAATTAAATTAGAAGCGTCACTCTATACAAAATTTAAGATAAAATAAATTGTAAAAATATTCATACGGCTTATACAACTAAATGTAATAAAAATTACACATATTATTGTAAAGTGTTAGGTAAATAAAACAAAAAATAATTGACTAAACATTTATTTATTAATTAATTTGACAAGAAATATAATTCAATTTTAATAAATAAATTTAAATTACTTAATACAATTATATATGAGTTTTGACGATTTATAATGTATAAAATTAAAGATATATATCAATGTTATAAATTATTTTATTAATAAAATAAGATTATTTTAATTTAATAAATAAATAAAATTGATAATTAAAAGAAAAATATTTAAATATTATATTTTGATTAATTAATAAAATAATTATTTAATTAATTAAAGATGAAATATACTTAATTTTAAGATAAATTTCCATTATATAAAATATAAGGTAATGTAGTTAGAAATAGAATGATTTATAACATATTAAAGTAAAAAAAAATTACATGTTAGCATTACAAATTACTAATAAAATAAAATATTTTTAAATTAATTAATAAATTATTTGTTTGATAATTAAAGAGAAAAATATTTAAAAAATATATTTTGATTAATAAATTAATTATTTAATTAATTAAAATTAAAATATAATTTAATTTTAAAATAAATTTATATTGTATAAGACTTATGATAATATTAATATATTTAATTTTTAATAATTTATAATATATAAAAATAAAAAAATTATATGTTAATGTCACAAATTATTTTATTAATAAAATAAAATAATTTTAATTTAATTACTTAAAGGTAGAAATTTTTAAAGGATGACAGTAAAAACATTATTTTAATTAATTAAAGTTAAAATAAGATTTAAAGTTAATTTATATCACATAAATTCTAAGAGAACATAATTACACATACATTATTTTAACAATTTATAATGTGTAAAAGTTAAAAAATACATATAAAATGCTACAAATTGTTGCATGATGTTATTTATTTATAATATAATTTAAAAAAATAAAATTTATTAAGATAAAATAAAAAGATAATATTAAAATCTAAATCAAGTGATATTTATGACATATTACAATTATAACGATACTAATAATAGCAAAATAAAATAAAGGCAAACATTGATGCAATATTTTTTTAATATAAATTTATATATATTTATTTTATCATATTATTATTATTATTACATAAACTAAGACATTACAATCTAGCAAACAAACTCTAGTCCAGTACAATAAAAGCTAAAACAAATGGAAAAAAAAAATGAACCTTGAACCAAAAAAGATATTTAATATTTTATCTTAGCCTATTTTTATACACTTGAATTTCTTTTATTTTAGAAAAATGATCTTAGCATCACATGCATGATTTAACCTATTGAAGAAGCTTCTTGTACATTGACTAAGAAGACATGTGTTATGTGTTGGAGCACTTGATTAGTTGC